TATATTTTTTGTTTTGGTTTTCCGTTCTTGCTTTGTTTTGTTTAACGAAGAGGTGATTCTTCCTCCTGGGACAGTGCCCTTGGTCCAGGGAAGCAGACACTTGACCTCTGACCTTCAGCCTACATCATGACCCCATCCAGCCCAAAGACAGCTTACCAAGCCTCCACATCAAGACGCCCCAACCAGGAAGTCCTCAATATCAAGCATTCATCCCTCCCCCATCAAGCCACACATCCCAAGACACCTCTATCCCCAAGACCTTCACCCCAGGCTTTCGGGCCCCGGGGTCCCAGTACGTTACCTCCTCGCTCATGGGCTCTGGAGGGGGGTCTGGCTCCTGAGAACCCGCCGTGATGGCCATTTGCAGCAGACCCTGCAGGTTGCGCGGGGGCCGGGGGTTGCCGGCGCCCCCCGCTGAGGAGCCGCCGCCCCCAGACGAGCACCCCTGAGAAGAGGCCGGGGGCAACGCCAGGGGGAGGCGACTGCCCCCCGAGCCTTGGTCTGCCATGGACCGTTTGTGAGGAAGGGGAGAAAGGTGATGGGGGGGAAGATGGTCACCGCCGATAGCGCTCTGACGTCCTGGTGGGTCGACTTCTGGGATGTCTGCTGAAAACGTGGCGTTTAAGGGGCGTCCGGCGGCCCCCCACGACCCCAAACCACTCAACCCGCACCCCTCTTAACCACGGCCCCCGCCCCTTCATACTCAAAGCCCTAAGCCCCTCCTTCATTCCTAGCAACAGGCCCCACCCACTCTTCCTGGCAACAAGCCCCCCTTCTCCTGAGCCCGCGTCCCCGTCTCTTAGCAACCCGCTGCCCCGCCTCCAAAGCCGCACGGTCTCCTTAGTGACCGGCGAAGCCCCTCCTTTTCGAAGATGGGTCCCCCGCACCGCAGGTCTTACCCGCTCTAGCCTCGAGCCGCCGCCGCGCCTAAGGAGAGAATCGCCTGCACCTGACTCTGCTGGGCGCCGCCATCTTGGCCGGAAGTGCGCACGGCCTCATCCGGAAGTGCTACACACACACACACGCACGCACGCACGCACGCACGCACACTCTCACACTCCCCCGACTCGGCGACATTGTGGAGGTTGGAGCCGCTGGCCCGGCTCCTCCTGGCAGATACCGACCCCGACCCCGCCCCTCCCGTCCAGACCCCGCCTCCATGACCACGCCCTCTTGCGGTCTCGCGCCCAGTCTAAGCCACGCCCTCTGTCCCCGCTTTGCGTCCCAGCGAGCCCCACCCCTCTTCCTCATTAGTCTCCACACACGCTCATGGTAGGCCCCGCCCACACCAAACTTCCCGCCCCCGTTCTAGGTCTTTCTTCCTCTCTGTTAGGCTCCGTTTAAGCCCCGCCCCAGCGCCTAGCGCATCTGCCGGCTCCCGCTCGACCACACCCCTTTATAGATCACGCCCCTTCTGCTGCTCCAGCTGTGTTGTCTCCAGGCCTCAGAATTTCAAACGTCGACCCCCAAATTTGATTTTACTCCCACCTCCTATTTGAAACTGCGAGTCTCACTTGACTTATTCACCCATAGGCTTAGATGCTTTCTCTCTCAGCCTCAGTTTCCCCATTCATCAAATTGGGGCGCACCTGATGACCTCCCAGGTGCAGAGCCAAGGGGGATCTGGAGGCCTGGAGCCAGGAAGCCAAATGTGCCAGAGCAACAAAGGCGGCTGGCCGGCCCTGTGTGCCTGGGGGCAGGCCTGTCCTGGGAGAATGCACTGGGGCTAGGCTTAGGGGAACTGAATCTGGATAGAAGGTGAGGTCACTGTGGCAGAGGTCTGGGGTCCTTGCTGGGGTCCCTGCTGGCAGAGATGGGAAGAGTGACCTGCCTGAAGAGGCCTCTGTGGCTGCCTGTGCTAAGCTAGGGGTCTGAACCTGTAGAGTCTCTTGTAGTAGGTTCCTATGGCCTCTGTTAGCAAAGAATCCAAAGCTTAGTAGTTTGAAACATACACTTATAGCCAGGAGCCAGTGGCTCAAAACTATAATCCTAGCTACTCAGGAAACTGAGATCTGAGGATCCTGTTTTTTGAAGACTAGGGCAGACAAATACAAGAGATTCTTATCTCCAATTAACTGAGGGGGTGGGGGAAGAAGCCAGAAGTAGAGATGTGGCTCAAATAGTAGAGTGCAGCCATGAAAGGAAAAAGCCAAACATGAGGTCCTGAGTTAAAAGTCCCATACTAGCATAAGAAAGAAAAAGGAAGGAAGGGAGGGAGGGAGGAAGGGAGGAAGGAAGAGAGGGAGGGAGGGAAGGGAGTCCCCCCAGACACACACATTTATTTATTATCTTGAAGTTCTGGGAGGCCTGAAGTACAAAATGATTGTCACTGAGCTAATGTCCTGGGCTATGTTTTCCTGGCATTTGAGAGCTTCTGAAAGTAGCTAAGGAATGAGGCTGGTTAAGTGACCTAACATCTCAGTGGAGCCTAAAGGCTCATGGGTATGACCTACAGGAGACTTGGAAATTACATGGGTGCCAAACATCTCCACTTACCTGACATAGAGGAGTCTATGGGAGAGAGGTGGGTTGTGCACTGGTGTGAGCATGGTATAGCCATGGCTGAGGGGCCAGTGGAGTTTGTCCTGACACAGATATGAAGATTTATTACAAGTAAAAAAATACATAAAGGTCTCAAAATGTTTATATGGGAGCAGGATGCAGTGGCTCAAGCCTCTCATCCTAACTATGGAAGAGCCTGAGATCAGGATGATTATGGTTCCTGGCAGCTTGGGCACATAGTGGTTGGGCAGTGTGGTGCAGAACTGTCATCTCAGCAACAGCAAGCAGCACAAACTAAAAGTCCAAGTTCAGGGGGCTGGGAAGGTGGCTCAGTGGGAGTGCTCGCCAAGCATTCATGAAGCCCTGGGTTCCATGCCTCAGTACCACATCAACAGAAAAACCCAGAAGTGGGGCTGGGAAGATGGCTCAGTGGTAGAGTGCTTTGCCTTGCATGCATGAGGCCCTGGGTT